CCATATTCTGCCTCATCTCTTCTGCCTCAGCAGTAACCTCAGCGAATTGAGGATACCCTTGCTGCTCTCCACATGCTACCTGCAGAAGTGCTGGTTCACAGCTAGGACCTGAGCCTCTGCAGAGTAGCTGTATAACACAGTTGTAATGGTTTCCTTGGAAAAAAAATATTTTATACTGCTGCTCTGTTTTCTACCTGAGGGATTTCATAGCTCTTTCTCAAAACTCAGACAATGCTTCGTAATTTAAAAATTCATAAATTGTAACCCTACTGGGATGACAGTTTCTTTTCCTAAACAGTTAGTGGTCTGGTACATCACTGGCTGTTCAAACATGCAGACGATCAGTGGGCAATGAGGCCGGTCTGTCCAGATTATCACTTAAGTGTGGCAGGTTAATCAGTGGGGCAGTGTAGTCATTTAACTCCATGGGCTGAACTGGGGTTGCAGAAATATGTTTGCTTTGCAGTGCCTACACACTGTCAGGTAATCTAAGATCATCCGACCGGTTTTCTTACAGTTGTAATTGAACCCAAATTTGAACATAGAGATGTCAGGCTAAAGAAGGGGCCATTCAAATGCTTTCCACTACCACAACAGAAATGATAGTTGGCCTGAAGAGTTGGAAAAACACTGTTCAGTCCCCCACTGAAACTGAAAATAGTGTTCTTTGTATAGAAAAGAAGGGAATGGCATGTCAGATGTGGGAACATTTGGAATATGTGCTGAAACTGCAGTTTCCATTTAGAATATGGAAAAATGTAAAATCAAATTGGGTCTAAAGGGAATTATGTTCAAGTGGTAACCTAGGATTTATGTATTTAAGATATGTTGTCAACTTTCTGAAAGTTTTATGGGGAATTCTGCATTTCTGACTGTTAGTTTGATCCTTTTATTGCTGCCTCTGGTTTGTGACTGTACTCACGGAGGGTAGCTACTGGGCTCCTTTGCCTTCTCAGTTCGTCATCCAAAGAGACCAATTCTTACTGTGTTTTAGAAGCTGCTGTGTATAGCTGATGTTAGCCATATATGCTCTGCTTCCTCAGTACTGGGGGGGCAATGGCTGAGGGCTCCAGCAGCACCCAGCTGGTGACACACGCAGAGACCAGCCCACTTTCACGCTTGTCTCCAGAGAAAGCCCACGTCTTGCCTCCTGCTTGGTGCTGGGGAACAGGGTGAGAGGATCTAAGGTCAATGGCCTTCTGCAACAAAATAAGGCCCAATAAACTTTTATGAGCAGCAGGCCAGGATAGAAACTCCTTCATGTAAGGCAGGAAAAAAGAAATTAAAATATCCCTACCATGGTGGACACCGGAAGGGTTGGAGATAAGGGGCAGCCAGTGAAGTTAATAGAGAGTGTCTGTTGGGAGTTGGGAGTGTTGCTGGCATTCAAGACATGATAACAGCTTTTACAGCCCCAAAATGTTCTCCAAGTTGGGACTTCTGAGATCCCTTCCCTGAAGTCTGTTGAGTAGTGTGGGTATAAGGTTCCATAAATGATTGTTGAAACACTGCAATAAATTAAAAAGAGATTAAAGAAACTCAATATTATTTTTCTAAGTAGGGAGTATAGTTTCCACAAGCACTGTCACTTGTGTTGTGCCCATTGAGCCCAAACGTGTTCATTGGAGGCTCTGTTGTGCTGTGGTTTAGCAGTGGTCCCCTATCACAGAGTCAGTTGTGTTTTCCTGCAGAAAGGTAATAATCTGCTTCTTCTGTTTTCTGAATCAACCTTTAGCAATGTACCTGCTAAGCCCTGATCTGTGAATTCAAAGGGGAAATAGCAGGGGAAAATTCCAGTGATGTGAAATACCTTTAAAATGTAACAAGTGCTTGTCGTATCTTTAAAAGATGGCTTTGGAGACTACTAAGTAAAGATTATTTCCTTTAAATCAAAATTAAGATTGTGCCATGATGTATATTACCCCTTGTAGACGAATTATAAATTACTTGGGTTATAAAAATCTCTATCTTTACACCTTTTCCTTCTTTCACGTGTTTGAGAATCATTAGTGCTGTGACACATCTTTCAGGAGATGTTTGTCAAATATGTGTGTGCAGATCCTCAGCCGATATAAATCCCTGTTGCTCTAAATGTATCTCTGCATTAGCTCCCTGGTGGCCGGCAGCCCAAGAGGTATGTCCCATAATATTTAGGGTGGGATTTTCAAAGCTGCTGAGAAGTAGGCTCTGAGTTCCCATTGGGGTCTAAATAGAGCTGAGCTGCTTCATCTCTTCAGATTTTCACAGGAAAAAAAAAGAGCTTTCATTTCTTACAGTAGTCCATTTCTAAAAGGTAATTAAAAGTAGATGATGTAAGAGTACGAATAAGCATCAGCTTTACTCTCGCTGCTCAGCATGGTAATTATCTGTGATCACAGCTTTAAATAACTCTCTGGTCCTCCTCACTGGAGGTTGACTGCTGACAAACGTGGTTTACTGCTGAGTCGTGTTGCCACTTTACTCTTTGTTTTAGTTTAAATTAATCTCAGTAGGAGAGAGGTTCAGATCCCCTTTATGTTTATAAACTATAGGACTTCAGTCCTCAGTCAGGCTAAAAAGACTACTAAAAAGGTAGTGCTTCTTCATCTCAGAGGTCTTCATCATCGTTGTGAAATCCTGGGCTATCAGAGTGCTGGAGTAGTGGCAATGCTGGTCTCTTTACAGAACTGAAAGTGTGCTTGTGCTCCACTGGCTGCTAGGAGGGGTCTCCGCAATTGAAAGCAGAGATGCAGTCTTGCTCTTTAAACCACAGTGCCTGACGAGCACGCACAGTGGGAGGGTGGTGAAGACATGGAAACTGCAATAGTTCAGGCAAAAATGAGTCACAGGAAAGCAGCTTGTTTTATTCAATTCCTGAAATGTTCTCAGTCACTCAAAATTAATTTATATCCACCATTTTGCAGAGATCTACTTTGTTTCTGAGCTTGGGAATGAGGTTGCTGGCAATTCCAATAGTGTATTTTGTTTGGGACACAGGCAGGCCTTGCTTGCCCATGGGTTTGTCTGAACACAAACCAGTGCCATTTTGCAATATAAAGCTTGTCATTATCAACTTAATGCAAATATTACGTAAATTATGTCCAGAGTGCTGGCTGTTTAGGTCTAGCTTTATTTACCCTGCTGTCTTTTTTTGACAGCATTTCAAGTGTTTAGTTCTTGCAGTGGTCCTCTTTTTCTTTATATAAACAGATCTTCCTGTTCTGTAGAAATTAAAATCTGTTAATTTTTCCATAACCTTGTGCTTTGATTCCATGAAAATAATTCTTATTTTAAGCAACAACTTTAGTATTTAAGATTAGCATTGTCCTACCTGCTGTTGTTTTTTTTTTATATTGATGAATCTCACTTTCACCATATAACTATCTCATTAGCATCATCCTAGTGGTAATGTTTTGAAAGACATAACTGAGAAATCTTATGTTTTGGGGAGTTAGTGCTTCAGCTATTCTTCTAAAGGGTACAAAAGATACCGTGCCCTTAGCGTATACTTGTTAAGTACTTGCAAGTGACTTTTTCTAATAATTATTTCTAGTAAATACTTGACTTAAAAGGTTTATTACTTTAAAAGCTGTGTGCTTAGTGCTGCAAGGTTGCACACAATTGCTCTGAGGTGGAGGCATTTTACTGATGGTCAAAAAGGATTTTAACACTGGTTTTGTAAGGGGGGGAAAAAACAAAAAAAAGTATGTGCAAAAAAACCCCTGAATCCAAATGTAGAAACAGTGATGTGGATGAGGAAAGGATGCAGTCTTGGAGACAGATTGACATCCCTTAGCCCTGAGCACCCACATTATGATTGTAGACCTCTTTAGGACATGGGATTCCTGCACAAGGCAAGTTGTCCCATTTCTGTCATGAATCCTTGCTTGGAAGTGCCCCTCTCTCGCACTGGCTTCCCAAGGAATCACAGGGCTCCTACCTCAAGGCGTCCCACTGCCAGCCTGAGGTTCAGTGCAGTGAATCTTCTCTCCTGGTGTGAGACACACTTCAGAGTCCTAGCATGTTTGTAGATCCCATGCTGAGGCCATGTGCTCTAGAAGGGCTTGAGGATCATTTCCTGGGTATATCTGTCTTCAAGGGGTGGATGGAGGACATGGCTGGTGGAACCACCACAGCTTGCGCAGAGCACTCAAAATACAGCTGTAGTCTCTAACAGCCCTTTCTCTGTCCTCCACTCTGTGTCCCTAAGTACACACTGACACCTTGCTTTCATTGCTGAAGCCCTTCCAACATGCCATTTGTAATCTCTTTGGGACAGAGGTATTATCCTTTTAACTGTAGAGCACTTCTGCTTACCACAGGGTGCTGTGAAAGTACGCTCTTTGTATAGGCTTAACACATCAGGGTCCTGATTATGAAAATGGCCCTTGGGAGTTACCATGTGACAAACGAGCAGCTGACAGCCAGCCAGGGAAGATGGACAATTTCTTACTAGGGTTGTGATGCCAAACCAAAATTAAGCAGTGCAGCTGGGGTATTAAGAAGTGCAAGGAAGAATTGGGAATAGTGTATAGAGCAAAACTAATTTGCAGAATATATTTGGCAAATAATTAGGAATAACCACACCTTTGAGAAAATGAGATTGTCTATATACAATATATGACTAGCAAAAGAGGAACGATCTATCAGATAGATTACTCACTCTGAATTGTTCGCTGATCTCTAGCCCAGAGGCAAATATCACAGAGGTTTATTAGTCAGTATATCAGTGCTGTGACT